CTAAAATCAAACTTTTTTTTAGCCTGTATGTAAAAATACTGTGTTTCAGACACAGACTCTGTCCCTCTGTGTTCTACAAACACACTGGTGGTGAGACTGTCATACTGTGGGGGAAAAAAAAAAAAAAACAGTGAGGTGGAGATTCCAGCAGGTCCAACCTAAAACTACAGCCTGAACACAAACGAACAGGTCAAGATCAAGACGCATTAAAAACTGCGTCAAGACGTAAACACCGACTGTCCAAGACATTTTTTATTAACTCTGACTGAATTTCAGGGTTTTTTTTTTCAAAGACAACAGGTCAAACTGTCGGCCTCTAGTTTAAAGGTGGTTCTACATCGAATCTGTTATGATGTAAAGCACTTTGAGCGGTAATGTGACACACAAATAAATTTGATTTGACTAAAGCAACTGCAAGAAGAGAAATATGAAAAATCAAGTCAAGTCAAAGTTTATTTATATAGCACATTTACAACATGACCAAAGTGATTCACAACATCACAGGTAGATAAATGAAAAAAACAGAAATAAAAGTAAGTTTAGTACAACTAATAACACATATGTAAAATTGGCAGAGACACCAAAAGCTAGTAGCACGAATGAAGAAGTTATACTATGTATGACTTTCCTTCCACTTCACTTCATTTCTACCTTCTCTTTCATATAAAACACAAATAAAACGCATTAAAGTTTGTGGTTTCGGTGACAGCGTTAAATACTTTTGCTTCATCTGTGACTTCTTCATCTTCTGCCTCATCCTCAGAGGAGGTCTCCGTCCACTCCTGAAGAAATCACAGCTTAACAGTCGTACCTGCTTTCGTCAACACTGCAGACTTTATGAGGGCCGAGAGTCTAATCCTCTCTACAGCTGAATATGTCTGTCACACCTTTCGCACACCACCTCAATCCACCTGCCCCTGCACGTTCCTAGTGCCACTCTCATTCGCTTCTCCGCCCGCCCTAATTTGCTTGTTTTCTACCATAATACCTCTCAGGAGACACCGAAACCACCTCCGCAGTCCTTCCCAGCGCACTCAGGGCAAATATCACATCTACAGCACTCCTTCAGAGGCCAGGCTATTAAAGAGCGCTCGACAAAAGGCTGTGATTGTGCCGTCTTGCAAACATATGTTCAAGAGAGCGAAGAGCTCTACCAGACAAACAGCAGGTCTCCACTCGAGGAAAGGGTGAAACTTTCATGTTTTTATTGATCCGGCTTTTCAGAAGGAGCCACGGCGGTTGAAAATCCAAGACTTGTTTATCCTTCACAGCCAAGGGATGCATCAAGTGGTGGCAAGAAGCCCGTAAAAAGAAGCACGGAGCCAAAGCGGCGGTAATTTGCACTTTAGTGGCAGCTTCACTATGAGGGTTTTTGAAAGTCTGTCCAAATGACAATATGTACTGACATCGGCAAGTAACATCCAGAAAAAAATAAAATAATAATTTCTGTTCTGTCTGTGCCATTTAAGAGCGCGGCAGAAATCACACTGACAGCTTTTTTTCTTCTTCTTTTATTACAAACACACTCTGCCTCCTTTTCTTTTCTTGCCGGCTCATCTGTGCGCGCTCCACCTCCCTTTATTTCCAACCAAAGAAACACAGGTCTCTGTAAATGTGTGAACTGATGTGCGTCAGAAGCAGCTTTGAAAGTACCTGTTGCAGCAGAGCTTGATTAAATAATGTCATTCCACGCTAACACAGCCAGCCCAGAACCAAAATGACTGACAGAGTACGTTATTTATGGACGGAGAGTTATAACAGAGGGAATAGGTCCTCAATATTTACAGCTGTTAAGCACTGACAGCATAATGGTGGCTCTGTTTTTTTCTCTCTAGGTTTTATTTCCTCTCTGACACATCTCTTATGCAAAGTGAAAAGTTCTTCCATACCAAGAACTCGTCTCCTGACTGCATCTACTGATGGAAATGCTCTTAACTTATATTCTTCCTTATGATTTTGCACTCAAATCATTGTGGCTTTGCTTTTTAAAGACGAGTTATACCTTATGCTGTGATTATATGAGGCATTGGAACATAAACTATCAGGGTTTTTAATCACAACGACATCTGATCATCTTCTAAAGTAAATTAAAATGCATTTTTTTTCCTGCCAACAGAGCTGATTATTAAGCTTTAATACAGCTAGAATACAGAAATGTTATGTTTCTGGAGTGGAACTTGATTAAAGTGGGATTGGTTCAAATGTATTAACCTTTAAACGGATTCTGCAGAATGGGATATGGATGCTGTTTGTTCTGTAAAATTATACGTGACGAGACAAACGTACTGAAGACAGAGCGCAACAGACGACACGATTCTCTTACAGGAATCAAACGGCGCAAACGTGTTCACAGGAGATGAAGCAGCTTCCGATGCAGAAACACAAAAACTAAAATAAAAATATAAAAAACCTGAGTTGTTATTCATGAAGCAGAAACTATTTTGGAAGTAAGGAAAAAACACACAGCGATGTTTTCATGAATCTGAATTTAGTTTTGTCAGTGAGCCACCCCATGTGGTTTTCTTATAGGGGAATAAAGCTCTTCTTGCATCACTTTGCCAAGCAGAAGACGCTGCAGCATTCAGAGTTTATTCACCAACCAGGCAGAACCGCTGCAGGTTTCCAGCTTGTCTTCTCTCTCAACTCATTCAGTCACATTTTCATGTGATCAAACTGGACTCTGTGACTGTCAGTGCCAGCAATGGATAAACTGACAGGGATTTAACATTGATCTATTTGCGTAAAGTGATGTAAGATGGCTTTTAGCAGTCATTTAGTGCTGAATGAGTAAACGAACTGGGTTAGTTGTAGCCATAGTTGCATTATTGACACCCTGGGCAAGGATGCAGTTCAGATTGGGCTGCATTGCACTTTCACTCTCCTGAAAAAGTCCAATCAGCAAAGAGTGCAATATTTTTTTTAAGATGTTACTGAACAGAAACATTAATAATGGGAAAGAGAAAGTGATCATTTTTTTCAAGAAAACAAACATACAAAGAAAAAAGCAAAGAAACAAAGTGTCTAAGCTTACAAGTTGTAACATCCACCTGGCTATCGTTAAGAGGATTAGCCAAAGCAAATTAGTCCACAAATTAAGTTATAGGTAAAAAATCAGAGTCAAACGAGGAATGAGTATTAAACACATAAACATGGTGATGTACAAGACAGCAAAAAAAATAAATAAATAAAAAAGCCAAGAACGCAGCTGGAATGTATCAATATTTAAAAATCAATCCTGTTTCTTTTAGCTATAATATAGTAACACAGTGTAGTATTTCAGAGTTTTTTTTTCTTATCCTGGATTGGTTCTGAGAAGTTATGAGATTGGTTTACAAATATTAAACTATAGAAATGAGCTATTTTAGCCACCAGTTTAAAAAAAAACAACACAAAACACCAGGAAACATGAAAGCAACATTTTTAACATTTTACCTTTAATTTCAGATTAATTTGTCTTAAATAGCAACTTTTTATGCTTCACATTCTTTCCAAAGTAGAAGGTATAAAAAATATTTCACCCTGCTGCCATCACCTTTAGATTATTGTAATTTCAGCACATAGTGCGGAATGAAACTTTAGACAGACAGTATATCTTGCTATCCATGGGAGTGCAGGTGTTGCATCGTGCGTGATGTGCTTTCAGAAACGTTACCCTTCAGTCTGAACACACAACCTTGGAACGGCGCAGTGTGAGGTGGCCGAGTGTTTGTATTCTGGCACATTCCCTCCTCTTTTTTCCCCATCCTTCCTTTATATTGTTCCAATCAGTCACACTTGTGTCTAATTACCTCCTTCTGCTCTGTCCGTATATTCTGTGCCGTTTCTCCAGCGCTAGTTTGTCTTCATTCGCTGTGACAAGCAGAGCAGATCTCCTCTTCCCCGCTGTTTTCTTAACCTCCACTTTGGTTTTGGACATTGGGTTTTGTGATTTGCGCACCTCACTCTTAATTGAGCTCCAAACCAAACCCGATTAAATTACTCCGTTTGGATGCGCCCTGCCTTGAGTCGCATCTCTGACTTAACATAATGTTGGTCAGTGTCACACAGAAATGTTCAGGAAATTTTAGTATGCTCGATGAATTTACAAAATGTGACACAGTCAGTCAAACCTGCTGGTTTTGGAAATACTTTACGCACTCATGAGCCTTAACTTCATGCAGAATTCGGTTTTTCTTCTGTTGGGCAGCTGCGTCTCGCAGCTTTGCGTGTTTTGTGTAAATCTTCCTCTCTGCCAGTGTCCTAAAAAAAAAACAAAAAAACAATCCCAACATAGAAGCTCAGCAGATGGCAAAAATAAATGAAGTAAAGCTTTGAACTAAAATTGTAGCTCATGATTGACTTGCAGGATGCCGTGTCTGGACAGCACATGTGAAACCTGTCTGGGCGTTGATTCTTTTTATCTGTGTTCACCCACTTCTTCTCAGTCCTCTTTGGATTTGACAATGGAAAACATTACATGGGTCCTAAGTCAGGGAGACAAAACGAATGACAGTGTAGCTTCCCATCTTTGCTTCATCTTCTTGCTGCCTTTCATGTAGACAAAAAAAAAAAAAAGATTTCTTTCGTTTTTGTTAGTTCTCATACATAAATGCTTCTTATCATGATACAAATTTGCAGCATCCATGATAAACTGGATGAATGCAAAAGCAAGTAAAAAAAGAATGATCCAGCTTTCTTACTTTTTTTGTGAATATTTAAATGATACTCTGTTTTGAAAACAATGTTTTTTTCTTCTCCATGACTAAATAATTGTTGTTTTTTTGTGGGTCAAACCTCCAGAGTTGCATCCCACACGGATCCCGTCAGTACTCATGATCTCTGTGTTTCTGCTCTGCCTGCATCCTACTGGCATCGTGTCACTTACATAACGCATCTGTGGAATTTTGAAATCACTTCGGAGGTGTGAAACACGGCCGCACGTTTCGCTGGGGAAGCGAGGCAGACGAGTGAAGCGAGGCAGACGAGTGAATCTCAGCGTGATTTGATCATGTGGTCCTTGAACATTTTCAACGGCTGGATGGCTGAAGAAGGAATCCAGAGTCTGGCCTCCACCCTCTGAGACGCCGCTCCCCTCAGCAGCAGGTCGGGTTTTCATAGTTCTGAGCAACAACCCCAGACTTGAGCTGTGAAGTGTGTTTTGATGTTTAGAGCTAAAAAAAAATATTAGTACCATTGAGGCTTGAGAATGTAAAAGAAATCGAGCAGATTTTTTTATTGGTTTCTTCAAATCTTAATGAAAGCCTATGTGGAGGAAAATCATCTAAACTCTTTTCCTCAGCTAGAAACTGAGTTTCTTTCTGTGCCAGTTTTAAAAAAACAACGGATACAATTTTTAAAACTGTGTTTAATTGTATAGATAATTACGTAATTATCTACATTTATATTTTTTATATTTATCCTTTGAGTTCTTCTCATCAGTGACTCAGTCATGGTTCATGAGGGAAACCTGGAAATCCGTCTCCATAGCAACATTCTCCAGTTTAATCTGGGGATTCCCATTTGTTCTCAGGAAAAAGGGGATTTAAAGTCCATAGTGGGCTATGGGTGGGTCCTCCAAAGGTACACAATATTTATGTCTTGTTCTGCAAACTGCAAGCTACCATTCTCTCCTTGGGAACCGTGACGTCAGACCGCCATCCTCATTGTTTCTCGGTATGCTGCAAACTGTTCTAGTGCAGGCTGAAGGTGATGACTGGAAAAGAAAAGATGAGAGCCAAAAGTTCCCAAACCAATAATCTACTCTCCACAACTATGCCTTGAGATCTGGTCCACGAAAACCATAAACAGCATTGGGGACAAGAATAAGCCCTGGTGGAGCCTAACGGTCACCAGAAACAAGCTTGTGCCAAGAATGACACAAATTCAGCTGCTGTTGTGGTTACACATGGATTTGAAAAGCAACCATGAACCCACTATAAAACACAGTTGCCAGGCTTTCCCAAATCCAAACAAAAACAAAACAAAAAAAAAAACAAAAAACCCACATCTGGACTGGATATCCAAACTCTAATGACAATTCTGTGAGGTAAAAGACCTGGTCAATGGTTTAGAGCATTTCCAACACCCTAAAGTGAGTTTTTCCTGGGAAAAGTACGTTGATACAAGGGGTTGTCATTCCTCACAAGTACAAGAACCATTCCTGATGTTCTTCCAGGGTCAAGTGGTGGGCTCACATGCAGGGGTCTTCCTTCCAGGCCGAACCCCAGGAGCAAAGACAAACCCAGTGCAGACCTCACCAAGCACTATGGGTAAGGTGTTTGTTTTCAGTTGTAGTCTGTCGTTCTTTGAGATTGTTAGCAGTCTAACTTATTCACTGAACTGAGGGCAGTTCAGGAGACCCTACCCAGAAGGAAAAATACGCTGAACGTAGCACCCGGGATGTCAGGTGTACAAACGCCTTCCACCACAGGAAGGTGGCGGTTCTGTGCATATACTCAGTGTCACGTTTCTATATCCAGTGGTGAATGGACACTCAGATAAAGTTGTAGAGACCTACAAAATAAGTAGAAACAGGAAATACTTTTTTGTACCGTCTGTCAATCTAATGGACACTCGGTGTCTATAAGGCTTTTATTACAATGTCTGCTGATAGACAACAATAAAGCACTCAAACAAAACAATGTCAGAAGTGTCACTTCTGGGATTTTACTTATTTTTTCCTCTACGTTTTTCTGCTACATTGTTATAATTCTACCTTCCCTTATGAGACGTGTTCATGCAGATGACTTGTGAGACTTAAAACCAGAAAGTCTGATGACTTCTGGACCTCTAAGGAACCTTTGAAGTGAACTGGAAGACCTAAAGTTCAGTTAAAATCTCTCCATCTTTTAGGAAAATGTGTCCTTATTGTACTGCATTTTGTACTTTCGCGTTCATCCTGCGATGGAGGCTCCTGGTACGTCTCAGCGCTGAGGAGGCTGCCTCGGGTCACAACACACCACCCAGTCAAATCAGGTGCGGCAGGAGGTGGAGGGACGACGGGCGCACAAACAAGGACAAAGAGAGCGAAGGACCAACAGAAGGAAATTGCATTTAGGGGCCAAAGTGCAAAGTGTTTTTATCTGATTCTTTCATGTTCGGATTCCTATTTTCCGAGGAAACAAATCCGCATGTACATGTGAAGGGTTATATTTCGGCTTTCTCTTTATTCAGGAATCCGCTCACACAGAAATGCTCATTTCATGGGTTTGTGGGCAAATTCTGAAAGACCTCCACACTTCAGAGCGTTTGCTCACTCACACATACATCCAAAAGATTTTTCAGCCTACGCTGAGCTACATGTAGACGGGTAGGTTCAAAACAATCATCAGATGAAGGTGTAGGAGCTGGCTTTGAAAACATCCACCCCACCAGGACCGACTTCTCTCTCTGGCCTTCACGATTTGTAGTCACTCTGTCGGTCCCATTTCTCGCTCCAGTCCATTTCCTGTCAGAGAATTGCAAGTGGTAACTGAGTGGAACAGGAGTGATTACCGCGCCTGAATCCACAATGCGGTTTTATGCTTCAAGTAAAATGTTGTTGAAGCACCGTCTCACTCAGTAGGTGGGTTTCAGGAATTCAGGCATCTGGTCTGCGTTTGTGTTTTTTCTTTGATCCCTGTCATTAAAAATACGAATCCAAGAACAATGAATTTCTGAAAAAAAAAAAAGAGTATTAGAAGTGGGCCTTCTAAAACTATGAGGAACAACATCTATTGAAAGACAGCCGGGGCTTGCTGCTTTCACCAAGCGCCCTGTGTGAAGCAGATCAATTCAGTCCACTTCTTTAATGATCCGTTTGCTCAGAAATGAGCGCCGTACGAGTGAGCAAAAGCTTCAAAATTACTTTTCTTTTAATAAAGACGACAGGGTCACATCCACCTACAGCAACACCGAATGAAGAGACTTTTGTTTGCATATTCATGTAAGCCTTTTCTTCGTTTTTAATTATTTCGTTCACTTGCATCCTGGCTCTCCTCCATCTGCTATTCATTTCTGCGGCGCTCCCTGAGAGCAGCAGATCCGTCTGCCAGCTGCTGGTTTCCTGCATTCCAGGTCGACCCCCGAGACACACAGGCTCTGTTTGTAGTTCCAAACCAAACATCTCCGCTGTCTGACGGACACGTTCTCTATATCACAAGTGAAACAAAACATTTCTAAATAGGTTTTACTGTCATATATATATATATATATATATATATACTGCTCCGCCTAATCAACAAACACACTGTCAGCAGTCTCTATGAGGTAATGTGCATGACTTTTTAAATACAAAAGAAAAGTTTCATGTAGGAGATACAATATATTGCTATTTCTAAACACTGTTTTCTTAATTGAAAAATTGAAAAAAGCAGAAAAGAGTAGTTGAATTTCTCGGGGGGGGGTGTTCTGTGATGAAATGGTGTCAGATTATATTAAGGGTCTCAATAAAGGAAAAAGGAAAAAAGTTCAAAATTGGTTTCAAAAGCACAGTGTTGATGTCTGGAGTTCATTAAAGTGGAGGTTCTTAGGGAAAAAGACCAAATCTCCCTTCATCACTATGTGTAGAACTGTTAGCAGGGGGGATTTCCATAAATTAGAATGACCTTCCTTGTTACTGAATTACAAAAAAATGGATCATTTGCAATTTAATTTCACCAAGAAGACTTGACAGAAGCTCAAGTTTGTGAATTCAGCAAGCTTTCACAGTTGAACATGTTCTGCAGAAGTATGCAACCATACATGTCTGGCTTGATGTCCAAAAGTAAGTTTCTGAATGGATAGTAGAAATCTAATGACTGAGTCCCGTGGCACGCCATCAAAGTGGGAAGAAATTATGTATTTTCCAGCCACAAAGCATCATTTCATGGCACAATTAAGTAACTAAGTTACTTTCAGTTGTTGTGAAAATGCTGCATATATCAAGTAAGACTAAAAAAGAAATTGATTTCACATCATAGCCACATGTGATGCCTTGAAATTCTCTTCAAGAACCTCCTGCTCTTTCCGACACTCTTCCTTCAGCACTTCATTCCAACAATGCTTCTCCATGATGCAGTTTGCAGAGCGCTGTAGTCCGTACGGTACGATGAGCTCAGCAGACAAGCAGTTCCACCAGGTGATTGCTGATTGGCTAATTGCTGCTGTCACTAGTCTTGGAAACTCTTTCTCTTTGAGTAAATCAGCTGCGCTTTGTATGAGCAAGCGTTCAGGCACCCTGAATGGTTGCCATGGGAGATTCAAAGAATCGTCAAACAGGCATGAAAGAATCAAAGCAACACTCCAAGTATGTTTAATCATAAGATATTAAACGCAAAAAGTCATATTTTCCCCTCCTTTAATAAATCCGACTCTAATAACCAGCAAGTGATTTATTTATAATCTTGAATCTTCCCATTTGTCCTTTGAATGAAGAGATTTCATTTACTCTCTCATTAGCCACAGATATACAGGTCCTTCTCAAAAAATTAGCATATTGTGATAAAGTTATTTTCCATAATGTAATGATAAAAATTAAACTGTCGTATATTTTAGATTCATTGCACACCAACTTAAATATTTCAGTTCTTTTAATGTTTTAATACTGATGATTTTGGCATACAGCTCATGAAAACCCAAAATCCCTGTCTCAAAAAATTAGAATATTATGAAAAGGTTCTCTGAACGAGCAATTAACCTCATCATCTGAATCAACAAAGTAACTCTAAACACCTGCAAAAGATTCCTGAGGCTTTTAAAAACTCCCAGCCTGGTTCATTACTCAAAACCGCAATCATGGGTCAGACTGCTGACCTGACTGCTGTCCAGAAGGCCATCATTGACACCCTCAAACAAGAGGGTGAGACACAGAAAGAAATTTCTGAACGAATAGGCTGTTCCCAGAGTGCTGCATCAAGGCACCTCAGTGGGAAGTCAGTGGGAAGGAAAAAGTGTGGCAGAAAACGCTGCACAACAAGAAGAGGTGATCGGACCCTGAGGAAGATTGTGGAGAAGGGCCGATTCCAGACCTTGGGGGACCTGCAGAAGCAGTGGACTGAGTCTGGAGTAGAAACATCCAGAGCCACTGTGCACAGGCGTGTGTAGGAAATGGGCCACAGGTCCCTCATTCCCCAGGTCAAGCTACTTTTGAACCAGAAACGGTGGAAGAAGCTGACCTGGGCTACAGAGAAGCAGCACTGGACTGTTGCTCAGTGGTCCAAAGTACTTTTTTCGGATGAAAGAAAATTTTGCATGTCATTCAGAAATCAAGGTCTGGAGGAAGACTGGGGAGAAGGAAATGCCAAAATGCCAGAAGTCCAGTGTCAAGTACCCACAGTCAGTGATGGTCTGGGGAGCCATGTCAGTTGCTGGTGTTGGTCCACTGTGTTTTATCAAGGGCAGGATCAATGCAGCAGCTATCAGGAGATGTTGGAGCACTTCATGCTTCCATCTGCTGAAAAGCTTTATGGAGATGAAGATTTCATTTTTCAGCACAACCTGGCACCTGCTCACAGAGCCAAAACCACTGGTATTACTGACCATGGTGTTACTCTGCTCAATTGGCCTGCCAACTCTCCTGACCTGAACCCCATAGAGAATCTGTGGGATATTGTGAAGAGAAAGTTGAGAGACGCAAGACCCAACAGTCTGGATGAGCTTAAGGCAGCTATCGAAGCATCCTGGGCCTCCATAACACCTCAGCAGAGCCACAGGCTGATTGCCTCCATGCCACGCCGCATTGAAGGCTGCAAAAGGATTCCTGACCAAGTATTGAATGCATAACTGAACACAATTATTTGAAGGTTGACTTCTTCGGTATTAAAACACATT